CACAAGCGTGAGGAAGGAGTTATTGCATCCATTAGAAATAACTTGCCCAATGCATTTTTCGATAACTTATCAAATGAGAGGGAAATATACAAATTATTTGAAGCAATAAAGTCTAGCCAAAAAAACCCAATGTTTATTCGTTTGGTGTTTGATGTTTCTCTCTGACGCACTTCGATGCATCTGATGTAAACTAGAGAAAGTTTAAGAACAGAGAATTCAGAGTTATCAAAAAATATTTGGTAGGGTTATTGAATGTGCCCTAGTGCTGCGTGTGAAAGAATTAACTAGAAACAATCGTTCTCCCTTACACATACAATGACCTGTCACGGATACGACATCACAAACATAACTAGCTAAATATGTCACAAGTATTCCTTGTTTGACAACACCTTATCCAGTAACACTTTCAAAATCAAAGTATGCCAGCCCAGTGAAATCAGAAGCGGAAAGTTTCGAATATTTATTTTTTAGAATATCGATATCACGGAAAGTGAATAATGTAAACCCGCTAGCGTTGTAGGAGGTGTGTCGCACAGTTTACCCACTCGTGATCTAGTGCGAATGCGTGACCGCGAGCCATTAGCCCTGTGAAACTAGTCAGGCCAGCATCAAACTTCGAAAACATACAAGGCCATTGATATTGAGGATTTATTTACCCCTGCAGCACACCCTCTCTTTAGTGGAATAATGATGATACCAATAGATATGCAACCGGAATTTTGAACCAAACGAGCTCATCATTGGTAGATACTCTTCAGATAGCTTGCTATGTTCAGTAACATCTAAGTATCTTTGCCTAACACAAAGAACGATGTGGAAATGTAAAAGCGTGTATGACGAAAATTTCTAGTCGTTATGTTCTTCGTAGTTTTCCGTCTTTTCCAGCCGTCCTGAAAAACAAAATAGGATATATGGGTGCTTGTCGAATTACACTCATACGTGCGCAAGGACACAAAACGGGTTCAAAAAGGATAATAAGGTTATATTCATGCGTTTCGTAAACATAAATTAAAGCAGGAAAGGTTTCCGCGCAGTGAAAATTTTTATTTGGAAAAGTTATGAACACATAAACATATTCGAAAAAAATTCGGGTTTGCCTTTTTTGAAATATATATAAGCATATTGAAAAAGTTTTTTGACACAGTAATACAAGAGAAAATTGGAAAGAAACAAAGTGTTATGTTAAAAGACTGGTATTTGAACGAGGAATATTCTTTGCGATAAATTCTCTTCAGGTTCTACAATTATATTTCCAAATTAATAATCCGAAAAATGGTTAGATCAAGGGCAAAGTACATCGTTTGGAGCATGTGAATTTCGGATTGTGATAAACAAAATACAATAAAAATTGTTAATGTTAATAAGACTCATATAGAATGTTAACTTGAATCAGCTTATATGTTGAGTAAAATTTTAAGATCCATGATCAGAATAAATATGGATCAAATAGGGTGAGAGAGAAATAATAGCACAATTACAATTCGATCAAATAAGTAAGACGTAATACGGAGGGATGAATGCGAAGTGAGTGAATCATGTATAGGGTAGATTAATGATGTTGATTCAAGTTAACATTCTATATGAGTCTTATTAACATTAACAATTTTTATTGTATTTTGTTTATCACAATCCGAAATTCACATGCTCCAAACGATGTACTTTGCCCTTGACCTAACCATTTTTCGGATTATTAATTTGGAAATATAATTGTAGAACCTGAAGAGAATTTATCGCAAAGAATATTCCTCGTTCAAATACTAGTCTTTTAATATGACAGGGATCTTTAAACGATTAAAGTGTTATGTATTGCTTTACGTCTAGTAATCGCTTAGGTGTTCTGGGAACCTTATTCTTCTGCCAGAGTCTGTTGGCTGTTGATTGTCGGGTGAGTTGTCGTAATTGTGAGACTCGTCCCTTTCCATTGTACTGAGGGAAGATAGACATTATAAGTATTTAATTCTAAATACACGGCTTTGGGGCGATCGATCCCGAGGCTATATTTAGTTCCGTTCTTATCGATGATACAGTACTTAGGTTCACCCTGAGGGAATTTGAAGAGTCCTTGGTTTGCCGTTTCGAGAAGTCATCGAATTGATTCACGATTTACAGTGACGTGCGTACTGTATAGTAGGACAGGTTGAACGAAAACATGTTTAGCTGAACGCATTGCGTTTGTAAGCCTACTCGTGTAGGCGTTTAGATCCATATTCATTGGAGAAGACAAAGGGTCCACGAAGGTTTCTGGAAGTCGGAGTGTCGTTTCATAAACAACTTGAGCTACAGTGCAGTCAGCTTTTACTGAATCGCGAACACCAAGTACGACAAGTGGAAGTGTCGGCCCACTGTGAAACATTTGCTGCTGATAGAGAAGCTTCGATGGAAATGTTCTACCGACCAGTTTGCTTATGGGTGATAAGCGTTCGTTCGGAGTCGTGTGATTCCTAATAGCTCAATCGGACAACAGTAAAGTCCAGATTCTAACTGGCGTCCACATTTTCTAATGATAGTAGAAGTGCAGCCCAAATATGCCTCCTATAGTTGGACGAAGACGCGGACCACTGTTTCATCAGTAATATCCTTGATGGATGGGGATTTATCTACCACTACATTCAACTCAGTAAGAGGGACAATGCAGTCTTATTCTTCGATCTCCATATAATTGTCAATATCTATATGTCAAAGTGAGCCAGACGAAACTTCTGGAAATCAGATATACTAAAAATCTGCACGCTTAGCAATTGGAGAAGAAGCACAAATATCCCTAACATCAACGGACTTGAATTAAGTGAGAATTAGTGCGCAAAACGTACAACGTCACACGTAATACTAACTCACCAGAGAATCCCAGATAACCTTCATGATTTTTCAGTAAGGACGCTTATTCACTTTTCGTGTGGGGAAAAATACGTGAGCGAGATTAATTTCACCACTCTCTGATGAGATGATTTTAATTTTGGGAAGCCATAAAAATTTGTACCTTCATGGAATTTTGGAAGAAGGTGTAAATAAAAGACTATTAGGAGTTCTGTAAGACACCCAAAGCGCTGATACTCCTACACAGTCCAAGGGACGAAGAGAGTAGAAGGCGTCTTTGAATCATTTAGTGATAGTAGTACTATATCAACAGAGGAGGAACTAAACAATGAAGTCCACATGTTCACAGACTATCTAAGTAGTGCGTAGATTATAGTGATGCTTGATTAGCGAGTGTATTGTATGGGATCTGCAGTACATAGTTATTGTGAAGTAGCCAAGAGACAGAATCTATGCTGCTTATCGGAATCGCACAGATGCCGTACAACGAGAAACTAATTAGGCCAAAACTGTTTCCCTCGTCGCATAGAAGAAATAAAAGTGACATAATTTCCTTTTTTACTACATAGTATTAGGTTTGCATTTAATTCGCTGAACGACTATATAATGAGGATATAAAAGAGCGAGAGTAGAATAATTATCAGTATATTTGACGAAAACAAGATAAATGATAGATGGTGTCAGGTGGTTGTAGTACAAATGTAGCCCGTCCCAACCGCTAGGCAGAAACGCAGTCTCGAAATTCTGTATAGGAATTTTGTACTGTGGTTAAAAAGCTCTTATTTAGCCACCACAAATCGGGTTCTGACTGTCGGACAGTTTTAATGAATATAGTAGAAGGACAGTCAATCATGCATTTATTTATTTGTACTTATTTTCACGTATTTTTCTTCCATTTGAAGGTTCGGCTGTAACAATGCACAAGAAAATGGCGAATTTTCTGGAATCTACATTCTTTGTAAAAGCCCTATTTACTATCAAATGCACTAGTAAGAACAGTGATTGACCGGTAGCCTATCTCTCTTTTTAAACAACTTTGCAGGTCTTACTTCATTAGACAAACAAAAATCAGCAATGTAATAAGGTGAATACAAGTATTCCTTCCCTTAAACCCATTACATCATAATTGTTCTCAACCATAATCAGGAGGCTAGCGTATTATCGGTCGATATGTTTTTTATAATAAACCACTAGTTTGTGCAACAAGGTGATGTTTTTGCAAGTTTATATACATCCGTCCAGAAAAAAAACAAAGCTGGTCTTCAAATCAGCATCTACCCGAGTCACAGTCATAATTGAGGACACAAATGACGATCAAAACCTTCAACGTTCTGCACTTATCAAAAATGTCTGAAAAGTAGCTTATCATAACGGTTGAATTGATTTCTTAAAACGTGCATAACTGCGATCAACATATAATGCATGAAACAAGCAGCTCGAAATGTGGAAATCCAATCCAATAAAATTTCGCACACTGAAATAACTAAAGCTGTAACAATACAGTAAAATGTTTAAAACAGTGCTCAGGATGTGGCAACATCTACCATGGCTTGCCGAGATCCCGAGAACGACGCACATTCTACCATCACAGCACGCTCAAGTTCATGTGATTATTAACAGTTAATGTTTGAATCTGCTGTCATCGACACTAATACTTGCAAAATTGTGTTGGAAGGTTTAATTCTTATAATAATCATGAAGGCCTATTTATGACCCAGCACGGTGTAGTTTGGCCTACGAACAAACTTTATTATGAAGGTCAGTTGACGTTTGTGATACATACATCGTCACCACAGTATATACGATTTAGAATTTTTCTGTCAGAAAATGCATCAGTAGGCTTTGAAACGTGGGATTAAGAGCAAGTTTTTAACACTTTTCTTTCTGCATGCTTTAATTTCAATTTCATTGATTATTGTTTTAACCATACGGTAACAGCTGTTGTTAGTTGAAGGCGGTACGACGACTAGTTCTAGTTTTTATTCCAATGATTGTATTAATCTGAGGCTTTCGTTATTGCTGGTTTTCGTCGATTGCTCTCGTTATTAAATGTTAGTGCATTTTGTGCGCTTTCAGTGTCGTCGACTCAACTTTTTGTTATTCTCTTTTCTAGTCCTCACGCTACTCTGCATGCTCTTTCAGTACACAAATTACCTTCAGGCTAAACACGGACCGCTGCATTCGTAATGAAGTAAGTTTTAGTGATTAGTAGTGTTGAAGAATCATCCTATTGACTGTTTATGATCGGTAGTTTCTCTAGATACAGTGATAACTTACATGACAATCCATTGATCTTATTCATCCTTAGATCCGCATGTTTTTCAGTATCCCTCTAAGGTAATATAACGCGTATATATCCAGCTAATATCTATCTGAAGTAATGTGAATTAGTGAGCTTTTTTGCTAATTAGTGATCCATTAATTTGCTGATTTGTACCGGTCATTTTACTAGGAATTTTAGATATTCCAAAAAAAAACTCACTAATTTGTAAGAAGTAGTGCTTTTAGAATTACTTGATTATGTGGATCAAAATCAGTTGCAGTGGTGGAAAATATTCGTCCTTGAAATACCACTTTATTTACTCCATGTATTTCTGTTAGTAATTATTTACACCTGAATAACTACCGCTAGGGTAATTGTTGATACAACTAACAACGCGTTTCTGTGTCATTTCTGTTTGGGTGAACGGTACTATCGAAAAAAACTAGTCAAAACCCTCGTCACACAGTACGTATGTAAATCGATGCTATATTAGTCAAACTAATTCCTCTATGGTCGGTTATCACAGGATGGTTTTGACCCGTTCTTATACATTGGGACAATCAGTGCTTGCGACCAATCAGATGGGATTACGTCCGACTTCCAGATTTTAGCTAAAATATTATTCAACGTAATCGCCGAAAGTGAACAACTATCGCTAAAGTCCTTTGGACTTTACCCATCTGAACTGTTTGCTTTTCTTCATCTCAGATTAGCTGTGACTCCTTGAACTTCAATTAAGGTTCGGGGCCCTCTTTTAACGTTCAGATCAAGCTGTTTAGAAATGGTGGGCAGTTGGAGACCAGCTGAACTAATCCTAAAAGTGTTGTGACCATCGTTTTAAGCGTCCAGACTAAGAGCAGATAAGAGTGCCTAGATTGTCTCACACTGGACTTCTTAATCCCGGTCTCTTATCAGTCTGAAAAGCTGTTTGGTGTTGCCTACAGCCACTGTGTTTTCCATCTCTTTTGCTTTCGTTGGGTGGTAATTATATCGGAGGATGTCTTTTAAAGGATGGGTTTTTGTCTACAGTTCATAGCCGACCTCTTAGGATCAAAAAAGTAAACTTACCTTCTTGGGAGAAATTAAATGTAAGTTTGAGTGAAGTAACTTAAACTACTAATCTATTATTTGCCTTTAAAATCATATTGTTAGCGCGAACATTTTCTTTAAACAAACAACTTTGTAAACGTATTGTTCACTTTTTCGTCATTGCAAATATCTAGTGGTTATAAAGTTTTTATTTTTATCTCTCAAGCGGTACTTGATAATAGTTTCAGCAAAATCTGTCTTTTAAAATATGCATGGTCTTTGATGATGGACCGTCTATTTTTCTTAAACTTGATAATTACGTTTTCTCACTTTAGGAGCTTAATATGTTGTTTCTAGTTGACAATTTAACAATTAAAATGTTGGGCTCCACAAATAGTTGTATAAGTAATTAATTAAACTTTTTTTTCTGGCTAAACTGATTTAAATGAAATCCGCTACATATTTAAGGCACGTGGGTCGATATTTGACCGAATCAGAACGCGGAAATATTCTAAAGCTGTATGAAGAAGGGGAAAATGTTGAAGAAATCGCAAAGTATTTTGGACGAAGTGAAGCTACTGTACGAAGAATAATTGCTGGTACTTGGCGACCAAAAAGATACTCGGGCGATTGTTCTAAAGGGATCTTGGAAGATAAGTACTTAGTTCTCAAAGTGAAAGCCAATAGATTGAAGAACTTGAAAAAGCTACAACCAGCTAAATTGGACTCCTGTGATGCCAGCGTGCAAAGTCGAAGTTCAGCATCCAATAGTAATTCATACATTGTTATTAACAAGCTTTTACTATTTAATTTATAACCACTCTTTTCGTGTATATTCACGTGCTTTTGAATCAAGCGCATAATCATGCAAAACACTAAATATCCCGGGTCATTTTATCCTATCCACAGCAGTGTCAGTCGGCCAATCACAACGTACAACCTCGTACGTACATAGATCAGTTCAACATCCTATAACCCATTAACCCAGAGAGATGAAATTGTCAGAACGAATCCCAGAGTAGTAGAGGTAACAGTATCAGTGATAAAGGAAAGATTAAGGACTGAAGACACGATTCGACAAGAAAATATAAATAAGAAAAATAAAGTGAGGAGTCTAGAAGTCCAGTTTTCAAGGGAAAATCGGATGTACCTAGGCCATTGCAAACGATTTTAACCCATTTCCTTAAAAGTCTATAACCATTGGTCATGGTTATTACGCAGACTCCAGCCAGGTAATCTACATTTATTAAGATGGCTCAGTTCACTTGTCAGTGGGTTTGGCGTCCTTAAGCTTTCTTCCAGCTTACTCCACCAAAAAACTGTTCGTCCAGGTAGGCAGTGGTTGGGCGTACGAACACATGTCCCAACCACCTCAGTTGATGAAGAATTACTACCTCATCAGTCGGTTTGGCATCTTTATGCAGTACCTTACCCCTGACTCCTGGATTGGTTACTCGGTGGTCCCAAAATACCTGAGCGATGCTTCGAAGACACCTATGGTCGAATACCGGTAACCTACGAATATCCTCTATTCTTAATGATCGTGTTTCACGCCCATTAATTAGAACGGAGTAAACTGCTAAACAAGAAGCTGAATTGATGGTGGTCTTACCGATGTATGATCTGTACACGGTTGAGACGTCTGACTAAATTACCACCTCCACTCAAATTGACTCAAAGATGGATTCAAATAGACCAGATCCTCACCAGTCATCGTTGAAGAGGCCTAGTAGAAGACATGCTCATTTTGGTGCATATGTTTAGATTCTAATCGTTCTCTGGTGCAAGCATGTTTTATCTGCATCTTACGGGATGCAGAAAAGCTGCAGTAAAAAGACCCATCAGAGTTTGAGCCAATGTTCGAAAAGTCAAAAGTTAGCCGAATGTGGCTGTGAATGTCTGTTATAGTAATTGATATATAGCGCATAACTCAAGAATGGTAAATCGTATAACAATAGTTGACAGATCAAAATGAAGCTCATAATAAGAGGGACACGAATATGAATAGTATAGTTATTTAACAATTATACGATAAAAATATACGTATAGTATTGGATCCCAAAAGTTTTCATTCATTATTCTCGTCATGATATAACAATAACATCTATCCGACGCTTAAGTGAGGCTCGTGAAGAGTCAAACACTGCCTACCTCGGCGAGCGGTTTTGTGGTGAAGTAAGCTGGAAGAAAGCTAGAGGAGGCCAAACTAAAACATGGCATCAGTTCATGAAGTCATTGACAAGTGAACTGAGCCATGTTATTAGGCATAGATTGCATGGTTAGTGTCCGTGTAATTATCATAACCAGTGGTTAGAGTTTGAATAGCACAGCTCAACATCATCCGCGATGATGCAGATGTATCCACTCTTTATCTTCCCACTTGAGATTCTGAGCTTGTTAATTCCTCACTATTATTTTTCCTTCACTAACCAGTTCACTTCGTGTTATGTAGTAGTTTACGTTCATTAAAAAGGTTAGTTAAATGAAATTACTTGCTGCAGTGTGTGGAGTTGATGATACAAGTTAACTTTAGTCTGTGTGTAAGTCATGCAGAGCCGTCATCTTCATAGTTTTTTATTCAGTCGAAGAAATATTGTTAGGTTTCTTGGACAAATGTAAATCTTGATGGTTTGCCATCATCTGTTTGACTGTTCCATATCTGAAAAATATTTTAGTTATTGTGTAATTTTTTGTCAACTTGTCCATTGTAATGTTTTGTTTTTACTTTTCATTCTGAAGGCAATAGGTCATCAAACAAATCAACAGACATTTCAAATATTTATCCTCCGAAATTGAGAGGGATTCCTGGACAGATTAACAAAGTCTTCTCAAAAGAAGTATTGCTGTGCTCTCATGGCTCTGTTATATCCGTTCATGACTTCATAAAATTCCTATGTTCTAAAGGTAGGCAAATATACCTAAGGTGTTTAGCTAAACGAAAGTAATGTGTTTAAGTGATTTTTCTATTAATCCACTTGTAGTAACGGTGATTCTAATAGCATTTCTTTATTTGCTTTTGTACTTTAATCTAGAGACATCCTCCAGCTGTGAAATTTGGTAAAAAAAAAATCAAGAAAATGCTATCTAAATCCTTAAAACTTATCGCTCATATTTGAGCATCTACCATCAAGTGTCAGTTCAAAGATACATTATTAAAGAATCTGATAAAGAATCCAAGTTGAATCGTGTGCATGTGTTACTGGTATTGATTGCAAACTAATCATGAGTTATCAAAAATGAGTATATATGTTGCTTTATCTTTAGCACCTTTGATCAATTATAGTCTACTTCTAAATGCCTTTATTTTTCAATAAGTGTTTTGAGGAGTCAAAGTCAATTTCGAGTTTTACATTCAGTCTTTTCCCCTATGGTATGTCGTTGTAAACAGCTATCAGAACATTTCATAAGTTAGAAATGACAATTTTGTGACTTTCACTTCATTTCTACAAAGGTCACAGCTGTGGAACATCTAGTACACTGTATTTAGAAAATATTTTATTTACTTCTACTAATGTGATTTTTAAGGTGTAGTACCCTAGTTCGTACATTCAAATTCGAATCAACTGGAAATGGTTCACCTTTGATGTGCACAATATCTAGTTTACAATTCCAACAAGATCCTTCTGGATTCCTTTTTACGACATTGTTTAAATAAAGTTGAATGATGAAATAGCTACAAGTCTTGTGAAATAAAAGTTCTCATTATTAATTTGCAAATAACTAGCAATTGAGACAAACATATTTCTGATAAAACCAGTTGTCATCTAATCTACTATTTTATAAATAAGTAGTTTATATAATATCACGTACTTTCGAAACAAGGAAAATGCAAATTAGTCTGTCGAGAAATCGGTCTGTTAAATTTCTTAGTACCTGAACAAATATGAGGGTTATCAGGACTAACCAATGTTTCTGCATTTTTTTAAATTTTTGCTGAATTACAAGTCACTTTCTAAAATAAGTAACGAACCCAAATTTACTTGTCTCTGCTTCAGCAACTATCGGATATTTCTTTATCCTAGAGTATCCTCTTACTTTTTGAAGGATTCTGATGGCTAGGTATTATAATTGGCAATGCAGACAAATTTATTCACAGTTTGATACTTACCAAAATCTGTCAGTGAAGTTGTCTTGTGCAGAATATATTAGTATCGACAACACACCGAAATAGTTTCTTATTCAGACTGAAACGAGTTTTCATTGAGTTTCATGTGCAACATATTAGGTAGTAGTGAGCTGAGCGTGAGTATTAGGCTTCCTATCAGTTTTATCCAACACAGTAATCGCCATAATATCAAAGAAATGATTACTACTCAAAGTTATCAACTGTCTTTAACAAACTGATGGTTCCTTGCTGCTTGATCGGACGCTTATTACGAATTCAAAATATAATACGTTCAATTGTGCTCATCTAGTTCTACTTGCATTAAATTGAACTATTACGGGAATTCTTATTTGGTATACTAATTTGAATTACCAACTAAAAATACGCTGGATTGAATATTTCAAGTTTATGGGCTGAAAATTTCAAACAATTTTCTGCTAAATAGACTTCCAGCTAATCCACATTCTTCATCTTATAGTATCTAAAACACTAGCCTCGATAATTATCAGACGCCTAACTAAGACTCGTGAACTGCAAACACGAGAAAATCAAGCTGGCTTCAGACCTGGTCGTGGCTGCATCGACCACATATTCGCCATTCGTCAGGTTCTAGAACATAGGCATACTTATCGGCGTCCGACAATGGTGGTCTTTCTTGACTAAAAGCAGCATTTGACTCCGTAGACCGCGAGATTCTGTGACAGTGTCTGTCATTGAAAGGCGTACCTCAGAAGTACATAAACCTTGTGAAGGCTCTTTACCCGAACACTACCAGTCGAGTCAGAGCTTATGGCGAACTGTTATCTGCTTTTGTAACCTCAAGTGGTGTCTGTCAAGGCTGTCCGCTTTCTCCATTTTTGTTTAACTTCATCATGGACCTATTGATGGAAATAACATTCTCGGGTATTGATCTCCTTCCAGGAGGTCCACTTATCGACTTAGAATACGCAGATGATATAGTCCTGTTTGGTGAAGACGCTGATAAAATGCAGTCTTTTGGTAGCACTAAGCAACAATGCCAGAATGCTTGGAATGCGCTTCTCTCCTTCTAAATGCAAGTTGTTGCTTCAGGACTGGTCTGCGTTAACACCTGAACTAAGGATAGGGAGTGAAGTAGTCGAACGCGTTGACAACTTCACTTATCTTGGGAGTCTGATCAGCCCTAATGGGTTGGTGTCTGACGAAATCTTAGCGCGGATTCGATAAGCTCGCTTGGCTTTTGCCAACTTACGTCACCTATGGCGAAGGCGAGATATCCGTCTATCAATTAAAGGAAGACTATACTGTGCGGCAGTCCGTTCTGTTTTAATTTACGGCAGCGAAACATGACCATTAAGAGTAGAAGACACTCGTAAGCTACTAGCATTTGACTACAGATGCCTTAGAAATATTGTTGGGATCACCAGGTAAGTAATAGTGAGGTTAGACGCAGGGTATTAGGGAATGGCGGTAAATCAGTTGGTCAGGTTGTGAATCTTCATCGACTGAGATGGTTGGGCCACGTGTTACGCATGCCTGAACACCGATTACCACGACGTGCAATGCTGACCGGTGTTGGAGGATGGTTGGAAGAAAGTTAGGGGCGGCCAAACCGAAATGTGGCATCAGTGCTTGAAGTCACTGACTTCTAGTCTGAGCCATGTTGGTAGATGCAGACTACTTGGTTGGGGTCCACGTGACCATCGTAACCAATGGTTGGAGACTCTTGGTGAGACGGCTCAGAATCGACCACAGTGGCGTCGGTCTATACACTCTCTGTCTTCCCTTAAACTAAGAGATTAAAATCGCTTCATATCTTTCTTTCTACGAACTAATTCTTTGTTCCTGTACTATATCCTTATTGCAATCTTTCTTTTATATATTACCACCTCTGAATTAACTACTTTTATGAATCCGGTGTCCATCTTGTTGTGTTAATGAGATGTGGCAACTTGGACCGATGCATATATTTGCTTGGTCTAACTTTGTAGCTGACTGACATTCTTCATCTGATCAAGTAGTAAGTAACATTTTTTCCAGCACTTCCAAAGAAATTTACTCTTGTTTGATAAGGTTATAAAATTTCGTTTCGAAACAAGTTGAGCAATAGGAAGAATTACCACGTTACACCTTCTTACTGTAATAATATTTAGACTAAGGTTAATTATTTTATAACCTCAACTCTTAATACGATCGTGAAGTGGAAAATAAAACTGTTCATCATTGGAATCCTGCAGGTTTACAGCAGGGTGATAGCCTGTAACCCATAAAGTATTTCATATTAATCCTACTGAGAGTCAAAAACTTTCTCATTATTAAGGATTAGCGAAGAAATGTAACATTGAACTGATTTTTCACCTTAATTTGAGTGAATTTCGATGTTCCAACCTATGAAATTTAAACACGACGTATGTCGGTCATGAAGAAATGAGGAACTGTCATAAATGTCCAATTTGCCAAAATTCATGTGAGAATATCAAGAATAAATCAACAAAATGAAAAGCTATAAAGTAAAAATGCAAATAACATTGGCAGCCCAATAATAGAAATAATATTCAAGAGAGACGAATTATATGATAATTTAAAGTGTAAAATAATACTACTCAAGATTTAGGCGAAAGTAAGTAATGCACCTATTCTCTGCTTCAAGTGTTCTTGATCTATGTATCCTGAGGCTTTCAACAATTGATTTTGATTATTTTTCTATATCAACTAGGAAGCCTGAATCTCCTAGCATGTTGCCCAAACTATTAGCTGCAATCTACATGGATTGATGAAATGTCTTATTTTGACCACCTTCAACCTTTTATATTTTAATCTAAGCCCAGTGAACATACAACTTCAGGATTAGGCAGTGTATGGACATACATAATACACTGTTAAACCCCATAGTGTGATGAAGATTCCAAATTTCCTCAAGCAATTCTGGATCTCTATTCTTTTCTCCACTTCTAAACACTATATTTCCCACTCTCTGACAATCCCTTCAAGGTACAAAATAGTTTGGTTCAGTTACAAGTTCCATATTCAGGCGTCTAACTTTCGGCAGCAATGTTTCGATCTGCAGTAGGTAGAAAGGAGAACAAAGTTGACACTAATCGTTCGTAGATTGGCTGTTTGAACAACTAGGCTGACACCTCAAAAATAACAATAAAGCAATTTACAAAAGTTCAATTGTTTCAATAGCTTTGCTTCTCACTAGTATCGAAAATGAAATCCAATAAAATCGGAAGCCTAATAATATCTGAGTTATTCAATAAATAATCTGGGAACTATTCCTATTGCCTATTGGGTTAGTTGTGCATTTCCACAAACCATTTGATATATACGAGTTGCAGTGTACTGTTTAATCGAATTATCTTGTGACACTTTCTCAAAGATATATGTGAATTGTTTCTCTAATAAATTATTTGATAGATAATAAGGAGGAAGTAATCAAGAAGCGTTTTATTCTAGGTTAAGATCCCGTTATATTATACTTTTTTTTTATAAATAAAATGTTAATTTTGTGTTTCAGATGTTCAACGTGACTTATAAGTCACTAAGTTAATTATAACCAACGAATTATAGTTTCAGTCTGATTATGACTAAGTCTGACTTGTAAATAAGTTTCCCATATAACGATGATTGGTTTATACATTGCTGAACGTATTACCTGAATTAGAGCATACTGCCTCCAAGGATGCATGCATCGTAATTGTTTTGAGTAAAGGTTCAATCATCACTCCTCTTTTGACCTGTACATAACTTTTGTATTCAGTGAAAATTGATTTCAATTAAATGAAATATTCTCATAGTTCCAAACCAACAAATTGGATTTAACAATCAGAATTGTTTCCTATATTTTGAAAGTGACTTTTCCTTTAGACTTGCAATAAAGTAATCTAGTCAAATTTAATCTGTTGTCTAACATTGTTGATGTATGAAAACAGGGTTCAGTTTATACTGGAAATCAAATAGATTTCGTAAGACCACAG